ATACCTTTTTACCTCTAATGGCAATCCGTTTCACTTCTTAGTGGCTGCATTGGGCATAGCTCGCAAGGTGACCAGTAGACAGAATAGATACCTCCTAGACCAGGTTTCGAATGAGGAGATTAAAAGGGCAGCATTTGATATTGGCCCCTCTCAAGCCCCGGGATCAGATGGGTTCACTGCTGCCTTCTACCAGGCCTATTGGGAGGTTATTGGTAACTCTGTCTGTGTTGCTGCTAGCTCTTTCTTTCGATCGGGTAGATTACTTCATAACTTTAACCATACGTTGCTAACCTTGATCCCAAAGACCCCAAATGCAGATTCTATGAAGCAGATGAGACCAATAGGGCTGTGTCAAGTTTTCTACAAGATTATCTCTAAAGTTTTATCTTCTCGGTTGAGTCAGGTACTGCCCACGGTGGTGAGTGATGCACAAAATGGCTTTGTCAAAGGTAGAGACATCTCGGATAACATATTGATCACCCAGGAAGTGATGCATTTCCTCAAAACAAAGTCACAGGGCAAGGAGAAATGGATGGCCCTCAAACTGGACATGGAGAAAGCATACGACCGGGTTGAGTGGGGATTCCTGTTCGCTGTCATGGAGGCGTTAGGGTTTGATGCAGGCTGGATAAAACTTATCAAAGCGTGTGTAACCTCTGTCACTTTCTCGGTCCTGTTAAATGGACATACTCACGGCTATTTCCGACCGGAACGCGGCATCCGGCAAGGTGATCCACTCTCTCCCCTTCTCTTTGCCATTTATACTGAAGCATTTTGTAATCTGATCTCAAATGCAATCTCTGCTAATCAGCTCCATGGTCTGAAAATTCATCGCTTAGCACCTCTGACATCTCATTTGCTATTTGCTGATGATACATATTTGTTTTTGCGAGCTTCTACAACGGAATGCTAACAATTGCTACAGCTTCTTAGCGTATATGAGGCGGCCAGCGGGCAGAAAATCAATCTTCAAAAGTCCAAAGTCTGCTTCATTTCGAATGTCACAGCTCAGGAAGCCGCGGAATTGGCTGCCGGTTTGGGGATTGAGTCTATTGGAGAGCTTGATAAATATCTTGGATTACCAGCTCAGATTCACAGGTCCAAGGTGCAGACGTTTCGATTCCTAGAGGATGGATTAAGTAAGCGGATTCAGAACTGGAAGTCTAAATCCCTCTCTCTGGCGGGTAAAGAAGTCGTGATCAAGGCTGTAGGGGCGGCTACACCAGTATACGCGATGCTTTCATTTCGATTACCAGCTACCACTTGTCGGCGTATGAATGGACAACTTTCGCGGTATTGGTGGGCGAGCCAAGACAAGGATAGAGGGATACATTGGATTTCCTGGCCTGCCATATGTGTCAGCAAGTTTCGCGGGGGACTTGGATTCCGGGATTTCGACCTCTTTAATGTAGCAATGTTGGCAAAACAAGCATGGAAGCTGTTGGTCTCTCCATCGTCAACTCTCGCTCAACTATATAAGGCCCGCTACCATTCTGTTTGTGACTTCCTACATGCACCGACTGGTAATCGACCCTCCTGGGCATGGCAAGGAGTTCTTGAAGGCCGTAAGCTGCTACTCAAGGGACTAAGGTGGCAGGTAGGCTGTGGCACTGCCATCAGGATCCTGGATGATCCATGGTTACCCACTTCTCCGCCCTCTGCCCCTTCCCTACTTCCAGGTATTAATCTGTCTAATCCTTTTGTGGCTTCTCTCATTAATCCTTTAACCCGCTCATGGAACCAGGAGCTTCTCCATATATATTTCACTCCGGACAGCATTAAATGGATACTCTCCATCCCTTTACCGTTGTTGCCGAAGCCTGATCGTCTTATTTGGCACTATTCGGAGACTGGTCATTATACTGTGAAGTCAGGATATCACATTCTCTTAGACGAACGTGCAGAGATGTTCAGTTCCTTGCCCTCCCACCTGGATTCTCGTGTTTGGAAAGTACTCTGGAGCCTGCCGGTACCGCCGAAGCTCCGTGTATTCCTATGGCGGGTCATGCGTGGATTCCTTCCTTGCTTAGATGTCCTTCACTCTAAAACCCTTAGTGATACTGACGTTTGCCCTGTATGCTCTGCTGCTGTGGAATCCATAGCCCATTGCCTTTTTGACTGCAGGGTTGCTCGGGATGTTTGGGACTTGGCCGGCAAAACCACACTGCGAGTAACGCTAGCAGCACTTCTGGCGGACGTGGCATGGGCTCAAGTATTAACCTCAATGCGCCTCAGCAAGCTAGAGATGGCTGAGATACTCTTTATTTCCTGGTGCATCTGGAAAGGGAGATGCTGGTCTTGCTATGATCAACTACAATATTTGCCAGGTCCCCTTTTTCGGCAATATCGGCAGCAACAAGAGGAATGGGTTGCAGCCACATCCCCTTTGCAGAATGGTGGAGCTCCTCGGCAATGCCAGGCCCTCGTGCAGGATCCTGCTACATGTCCACAGGGTGGGCTGCTTATTCGAGTTGATGGAGCAACAAAACAGGACATCGGTGGCAGCATTGGATTTGTGGCTTTCTCCCCGACAGGATCGATAACTTGTGCTTACGGTAAGTACTATGTTGGGTTATTTGAACCTTTTCTACTAGAACTTCTGGCATTACGGGATGCAATGGACTGGTGCCTAACACATGGTATATATTCTGTTTGTTTTTGTGGGGACTCCCAACTCGTCATCCGACGAGTATCGGAGGATGTACAGGAGCATAATCGTGGCGGGGCGATTCTTGAAGAAATCAGGCTGATGAAAGCATCCTTCGCGTGCATTCGTTTTGTTTTTTCTCCCCGTAGAACTAACAGGGCTGCCCATTGCGTGGCGAAAACAGCTCTTGCATCGGCTAATCAGCATCTGGCTGATTTCCGTTATTTATTTTCCAACTCCTTGTAATTCCCTATCTAATACATACTGCCTAAGACAAAAAAAAAAAAATTGGTTGGTTTAAATTTAGTGTTTTCAAAAGGTTAAATTACACGTTTGATCACTCAAATTACAAAACTCTTTCACTTTTGCCATCCAAATTACTTTTCTTTCTTATTCGCCATTAACTTTACGAATTATTTCACCGTTAGTCACCAGCCATCAGTCTCCGTTAGATTCCGTTAACTCCGTCAGTTTTCTAATAACATAGCAAACGAAACTGCTGACCAGACCGTTACATTGATGACATGCCCATTTAAAAAATAAAAACAAAAATTAACTCCCCATCCATCCTCATCCTCTCGCTCTACACCTCGCGAGCTTCTTCCGCCGTGGGCTTCGGCGAGTCAACGATCTCCTACACCAGCGAAAATAGAGCTCCGCCTCCCCACATAAATATCGCAATCCCAGAAAAACCCCAGAAACATTGCAATCCCCAAACTAATCATGTCGACGTTGGCTCGCTCGCTGCAATTGAGTTACTCCTCGCTGCAACCTAGAAGCGTCGCGCAAAGAATCTTCATCGGCCGTAGATTGCAGAATCACTCCCTCTTCCGTCGCTCGTCGCTCCTTCTACGCCTCGTCAAACTCAAATCCCGGTCTTCCTCTCAATCCAATTCCCTCAACGATGTCTTCTCCAGTCATCCTCCCATTTCCAACTCATTGTCCCGGTAATTGAAATCCCTTCTAGTGAGGGTTGCAATTAGGGTTTTAGCCAAGAATTCGATTCGTGCAATCTAACCTAGATCCCGTCTCTCTGCTTGCTGCTTCATCTGCTCGCGAACATGGGCTCCATTTGGAGAACCTCTATTCTTTTTTGGGCTGACCTGTGCAAACATACAAGAAGCTCTTTACCACCTCCTCATTTTGCCACCCAACAACAGATCGAATATATGAATTTACAAACTTGATTTCTGGCTCTTTCTTTAATTGTGGATTCATTGTGATTTCATCTGCTACCCACTTCATTTCTAACTGATAGATGAAAGGTCACATATCTAAGTTTATGAGTGACTGGGCCTCCCCGAATTGTTAAGTTTCATCGGAGCCGGCGCCATTAGAGATGCAGCGAGCGGGGCTAGGGTTTGAGGGTCGAGGACGCCGTGGACGGCGAGGGAGCGGGCGTCGAGGGATAGTTGGCTGGAGCAATAAAAAAGTTATTAATTTTATTAAATAATTAATATTATAAATCATATAAATAAAGTAAGTGGAATGATGAGTTGGAAAAATATTTTTTTTTATTTCCACGTCATCTAGTTAACGGTCAAACGTTATAGTTGACTGCCACGTAGGACAAATTTAACGGAGTGTAACGGCCGGTGACTAACGGTGAAATGATTCGTAAAGTTAGTGGCCAATAAGAAAGAAAAGTAATTTGGGTGGCAAACATGAAAGATTTGTATAATTTGAGTGACCAAACGTGTAAGTTAGCCGTTTTCAAAACAAAAGTGAATAGAGATGGTGGTTAAAAGGACTAAACTCGAATCATATATACTCTTATGGGGTTTGTCTTCAGTGCAGTTACTTTTTTGGATGCATTGAATCGTCATTTTGAGTAGGTGATATGTCAAAACGTTGTCAACTGTCACTTATGATACGATGACAAGAAAATGCATTAATTTGCACAAAAATCATTCAAGGTTTAGTTTGATTTGAATGATTTAGGGTTAGAGTTTACAATTTGGAGTTTAATATTGGGATTCAGATTGAAATTCTAGGATTTAGAATAATGCATTGATTAGTTGTGATATTATGCTATAATATCATATTATACCAATGCTTCCAATTATAGTTCAAACTTTGATGTCTTATCTCTACTTTTAGAGTGCATCAAAACAAATGAGTGCTAGCTGATCTACGGATTTTGTACTTAGCTACTTGTATACCAAAGGCCAAAGCCAATATGGCCCGAGAATGTCAGAATGTTAAACCTACCAAATGATGGGTATTATCATAGGCTATTCATTTATCCTACCGTAATTAGTTTGGATTTTATTATCATAAAACATACCTGTATGGCTCAGGTGCTAAATTGTGTTAGTTGTTTAAGGGGGAAAAGATGTAACAGTGGATGCCTTGGGACAACCCTAACATAACACTATCGATGAACCTTACATTGAATTACATTTTACAATAGGAAACTGGAAATGAATGACATCACAGTATCAAATACATGAGCAGAACCCCTCAAAATCACATAACAAGCTGCAAAATTTTGCTTATTCTCCGTATCTTGTTTTGTATGTACAACATATGCCATACAAATTTCCAAACAAACTAAACCCAGCAACTGAAGTGTCCGATGGCCATTTGCCTTAGCTATGTTACAAGCACCACCTTCTCCATCCTAGATTCTGTCTCGAGGTTAGAAGTCCGAACAATCAACTCCCTTCGCCACTCACAGGAACTTCACCAGAATCCATTGCTATGCCATAGCTGGAGCTTCATTTCCAGAATATGCTTCTCAGTAACTCTGTCCATGGAAGGCTTAGAATGTGTATATCAATCCTAACACGTGAAAACATACCATGTTACTGGAAGTGCACTATTTAGTTTTGGAACAAATAAATTTCAGTAGATGAGGGAATGGAAATATGCTCATTCAGGCAAACAGACACTCCCCAATTAATGCACGAACTAGATTCGAAAAGTTCAACACAAGCATGCCACAAAAGTGAATACCTGCATATGCAGATGAACATTGGGAAGGAGGACACATTCACTTGCTTAAGAGACAGATTTTGATGAGCTTGTTAAACATTATGTGTTAAAAGAATGTCACTATTCTCAGAGTCCGAAGACTCAAAATCTTCATCTTCCCAATCAAGGTCCTCCTCTTCTTCCTCGTCATTATTGCTACCATCCTCATCAGATGCTATATATGAAGCATCATTCTCTCCCTGAATATCCACAGAAAATCTTGTTATAAAAGAGAATCCACAGCAATTTGAAACAGGTAATTTTTTTGCAAGTACTAAATACCAAATGCTCAAGCCTAGATCCAATCCTGTAATCAGACAGAGGTATACTAATTTCCAGAAATATGAGAAACTGCACTGCTTTGGGTAATCCAGAAGTTAGTAAATCCTCTTTTTCTTTCCCCTCCCCACTTTATTATGTCATCTCAAGTCTCAACAAGATAGACACCCCTACGGTTAGAGTACTGGTGATTAAAACATCAACACAACAGGGAGAGAGATTATATATAAGAAAAAAGAACACAACAGGGAGGCCAGTGTCTCACTTCAGTGAAGTCTGAATTAGAATCTACCAATCGCGATGCACCTGAGCTCCAATCATCAGAACTATCATCCTCAGATAAACCCTGCAAGAGATTAAACAAAATGGTACAAGTCAGCTTAGTTTTTCTTTTTTGCTTTTAGCAGGAGAAGAAAATGTGATGTTTGCGATGGAAAAGGCCAGGAGAAGACAAGGGGTACTTACAATTTCGGCTTTCAATTGTTTTATTGTGTGCTCCAGTTCATATATGTGCTGACTGAGAGCCTGCATCATTTGGCACACTAGAATTATTTGCCAAGGTTCCTTAATATGACCAACAACAAGAAAAAGATTATGTTGAAGATAGAACCTCATGGCGTTGCATTGCTACAAAACGCTTCAATGCCTTTGCTTTTGTTAAAAGATTTCTTGGTCTCAAGCTAATGGGACGGCGGTAATTCTTCCCACGGTAGTAAATGAGAGCATAACCTTTTGGTACTCTTTCTATTGCCACCAGTATCCCACCACTCTCGTATTCCAGCAGTCTAGCTGTATCTTCAACAAATGCCATCGTCTTTTGTTTGGTTATTAGCTTCACAACCTCTCTATACTTCCAATGCAAATGCATGTTTTCAATAACTCCATCAAAAACACCACGGATCCCTGCCACATTAATGTACAGAAATTATATGCTCTGCCATTTGAAGTTCACCAAATAAGCTTCTGAGTACGACTTACCCATAGGTAAGTATGGCTTCATTCTCAACCCAATTTTCCGGAACACAATCCTTTCCTCATCAGTGATCGCTTCTCTGTCATAATCTGGATCAGCGGGAACCATCGAGGCCTCTATCTTTGATAATAGTTTCTCTGCTCTAAGCTTCTTGCTGTTAGCCTGTACGGAAATTCATGGTTAAACAAAGTCATGCAAATGAACTGAACAGGTAAATAATAGGAAATCACATTAAACAAGAAGATTAACATGTTCTGCTTGGACCAGAAAGTATTATGTCTTGTGTTATCTGTCTTTCCTGTAAACAGGTATGACAAAAACTTTGCACCTCCTACTATATTTAACTTTCCTTGATTATAACAATCATGAGTAAAGTGTAGTTATCTCATGAGACAATGCAGAAGATGTCATATACTTACTTTAGCTAGCTTATGCTCGATTTTTCTGACGAGCCTAGCAGTTTTAGCTTTGGCAGCTTCTTCAACCATCTTTTCACGTTCTTCTGCAGATGTATCTCTTCCCCATCGTGCTTGTGCTTCATAAAACTCTGCCAAGGTCCCTGCAAGTGCATTTCCTTCACCTTCTATACCTGATGATGCTACCTCTAGGTTGCTTCTTAATTTCTCTTCGTTGTCTTGAATTTGTTTGGTTATTTCTTGCCTATCAGCTAATTGTGCAGCTACACTTGCAGGCAGGAAATCCTTCCCACGGAAAATGACAATATAATATTTGTTTCTGAGCAACAAGACACCTCCTGTTAATTGCTGCAAGGGTAGAGAAACCATCAATAATAATTCCATCATTAGTTGGTTAACCTGTACATATATCTTCTCCTTTCTTTTCTTGAGAACATCCATAACCAGCATGATATATGAATCTTGGGAATATTTGTGACAGAAACAAAATAGATTGTGGTAACCAATGTAAAACAGCCATGAGACCTTTGTATAGAAGGAAACAACTTGTACAGAGGCATAACTCAAAGCCAACAAGAATCAGCAAACACAATGAAATGTCCACATTCGAAAATCTATTATCATGAACACCCTACTATTCATTATGTTGAGTTCAAATTTCTCAAACGTCGCACAGTCATAAACTCATAATGTAAAATTCATAACATGCATCCAACTATATGAAACCTAGGTTGACGACTATTGGAGCAACTTCATTTTTTCCTCCCTACCCTTCCGAGAGAGGAAAAACATAAAGCTTATAACTCACGTTTATTTCCTCAGCCATTAGCTTGTTATTCGTATTCTGTATCCCTCGCTTCACGGCAATTTTCACAATTAGGCTTTGCTCCCAAAGTTTGAGTATAGCAACTGCCAGCCCTTGATGGTTTCTGTTCCTCCCTGATCAAAGTGAAGAACAAGCGCCAAAAGTCAGTAAATGAACTAAACATCTGAAAATTCAGGAATTCAAGTAAGACAGATAAATTATTACCAAGGGCAAAATGGCAGGGAAGTGATTTAGCAAGTTTCCTCAAATTAGTCATCTCAGCATTAGTAAGTCGAGGCCGCATTCCAGTAGGAAGACACCTAAAAGGCGTCATGTAACCAGGAACTTTAGGTGGAAGCAAATCAGCATCCACAGGAAGCACTCCAGTGCCCCACCACGCCTCATAACGGGGCCCTAATCCATCCAAGAGTTGGTTATATTCAATTTCCTGCTCGGTCAAGGTCTCGGTCTGTTGTGGAAGTCTCACAACTGGTAGTACAGACTTCTCTGAATCTGGCAATGCGGCCTCATCACTTTTGAATGAGGATGAATCAGCAGATGACACATCTGGAATGAATGGCGATTCCCCTTCTTGCCTAGCAGATTCCGGAGATTTCGGACCTTGGTAGTTACCGCCTCGGTAAACAATCATAACACTTCCTGCCCTCCATAAAACTAACCCTCCAGTGCGACGCTGATGATCAATACAAGCAGTTAGCCATAGTTATCAAATTCCTGAATCTAAACTAAGACCTTTTACATAATAGTTAGTCACTACAGTGGTTCACATTATCTAAGGCCATCAAGAACAAAGCTAAAGAAAACTGAGACAAAAACCACCAACCTCGACAATCTCGTGGCCAGTTTTCATGTCATGGGCGAGAAACTCGTGGAACTTGAGCCTAACCAGCTCAGCTTTACGCCATTTATCATGAATCTTCTCCAAAACTTCCAGGGTGATCCCAGCTTTTGGCACATTGATCCTCTCTCTCAAAGTCATTCCCATCTTCCTCAGCCTTCTCAATTCTTCATCCTCAATCGTCAATTCCGCCAAAGTCGGAGCCTTTGGCCTCCTCTTCCTTTCCATCCCTCCATCTTCCTCTCTTCCCTGCATCTCCCTCTCTTTCTCTTCTCTCTCCCACGGCAACGCCATTTCATCGTCACTACCATCATCCTCGTCCAAAATAGTATCAGGCCTAATCCACTCCCGCTTCAAAAGATCCGCCAGCCTCTCCTCCCCATTAACTGGCGGCAACTCGGCGGTCAGAATCCCGGTCTCCTCCCTCCCTTCTTCTCCTTGCTCGTCTTCCGCGCCCAAACCCAAATTTCTCAAGCGAAGTACGATTCTCTCAATTGCAGTATCCCCTTTATCCCTCGCCAAATACCGAGCCTTCTCCTCATTAACAGGCCGACTTACCTCTTTCTTGGGAGTACCCCTAACCGAATTCCCCTTCGGAGGCCACTTGGACAACCAGGTAGAATTTGGGGAATTGGAGTTTCTCGATTTCGGGTTTTGGGTTCTGACGTACTTGTTGGTTCGCAACGAGGAGCAGAAGGGTTTTGGGAAGAAAGAGGAGTGGCCTCTGAGTGGGAGCTCTGATAATTTAGCAGTCGCAAAGCTCATGACTTTGAACGAAATTGGAAAATACCCAGCTATGGCGATTTTAGCATTTGAGATTCTTAACCTGTTTAGAATGCAGGAAAAATGGAAGGAAAGTTGGGATGAACACTGCCAGGCAGAAGTCTTCCGGGAGTGAAGAACGGCTGTGACTGTGGCTGTGGCTGTGGGCTGTGGCTGTGCGGGAGGAATCTGCTTCAGTTGGCGGAGACGGATAACGTGATTAACGTCTACTACTACAGATATTGTTATTCTTTTTCCCTTTTCCTTTTTCTTTCCTGTTGGAAAAAGTCCATACTCAATCAGCGAACTTTGCTTTGGTTCTCACTCGGTCACCATAGTTTCCAATGTCTTTCAATTAAGCTTCAATTCCACTTCAAGTCTTCAACCTAAATTAATGGTGATATGATATCATTCCCGCCAAAAGCAACAATGTTTAGAGTTCATATATTTAATCACTGTGCTGCTACTGGTTTGATACAAATCAGCTATTTCAATATCTAAAGTTTACTTGTACTGATGGCCTTTTCTCAAATCTTATGATAGCCTGTATAATGGGGGAAACGTAGGGAATGTTATATTGCAGCAGATGATCTTCTTTCCAAGACTGGTGGAGCATTAAGGATTTCTTCACCAAGCTCTTTTATCTTGTTAAGAAGAAGCATTTGCTCGGTCTCGAGCTGTACCATGTACTCTTCTTGGGTCTCTGCTACACTTTCCATCTCACTCAAAGCTAATGAAACAGTATCGAGATTCCCACCTTCAACAGAAGATCGGAGCTTTGACATCATCTGCTTCAACTGATCAACAGCAAACACATGGAATGAGCAAAAGTGCGAACAACGAAGAAACTGTAAGTAATTGCCTCATTTTGTTTACCTGGCCTGTAAGTTTATGGGAGTTACTCAAATAGCCTTCAGAATCTGAGCTAGTTCTCTTTGGTTGTTCAGGGACTCGCCTGGTGACTCGAACGTGTATCTCGCCTCTTTTCACACCTTGCAGAGGTATCCACTTGTCGGATGTTTGGTTTGGGGGCAACCTTTGGTACTCTACAACACAGTCACCTATACTGGATCCAGGTAGCAACGCATTATGGTCTTTGACATGCAATTCCAAGGGACTGCCATCGTCCGGAAACTCTAACATCTGGTTCCATTGTGGAGTGAGAGTTTTGAAGACCACCTTTAGAAAGGGAAAAATTATAGTAGGTGAATATGCTACTGAAGTTGGTGAGTGGGAACGAGAGAAAGGGAACCCATCTTTGTAAATTTTACATCTCAGAAATGAAATTCAAAGCTCCTCGACATATTATGTCAGCTCACCTTTGTTCGCCTCTTCAAGTTTCCATATTGCACCCTAACGTATGGATCACTTGTTCCTCTAAGATCGGCAGCAATAAGATCCCTCCCTTCAATAATTTCAAGTTCAATCCAGCCAATAGGTGAACTTGAAGTCATGCTCTGGGAAAAACACCAGAGAAATTATATCACTTGACTTCAAGAAAGTTAAGAGCTTGAATCCAACAAACTTAATATATGCACCTTTGATCCATCATCCTCATCAACTTTCACTGCTTCTATCTGAAGCCGCAGTTCTCCTGAGGTTACTTTCTCCAGAGGAATCCATGCATCCCTTATCGAACCCTCAACTAAAGCTTCCAAATTTACCCTTGCACTACCAATGCTTTCATCCCCAAACACTTCTTCGGTATAGCATTTGATCTTAAGGTACTCATCCCCTCCAATCTCTTCAAATTCAAACTTTTGGTTCCAGATAGGATTGGGAAATTGTGAAGTCTTTGTCTTCTGGACTGCCTGAAGAAAGCAAGAAGGTTGCCCGAGGTAAAAATTTCAGAAACCATAGCAATTAAGCCTATTTACATATACAATACAAGGTATTCATATGAGTAACTTGATACCTTTCCATACTGCAACTTGACATATGGGTTAAACTTGCCCGATCTTTCTTTGACAGTTAGATCTTGTCCTTCCACAACAGTTACATTGATCTTCCGTCCTGTTCTTGAAGGAAGAATCGATGATCCATCCACAGATTGTCGAGACCTGCTTTTGTACTTGTTCAGGCTGTGCGTACCGTCCGAGAATTGCCATTCTTTTACCACAAGCTTCACAGCCAACTGCAGAAATGAACAAGTGAAAAGCATCAGATGATAAAATACACGATGAGATAGCTAAAAAAGGTTTGCAGCATATGGACCTCCCCAGAGTTTGGCCCTTCTAATGGAACAATCATTTCAACTTCTCTTCCACTGAACTCGGCATGCTTCGCTATTATACTTGAGTCTGGCCCTATTGCCCAAAAAACTGTTGAATCGTCTGCAACATACTTCATCTGCTCAAAAAGGGCAAAATCGAAGATAAAGAAGAGAGGAAGAATATATAGCTGGTATTAACAGTAGAGACTATGACCCCTAGTAATTAGAGCAGAGAGTTACTTAAGATCGAATAATATGTTTATCAAGATTTTCTAGGAGCGAAATTGATAATGACATATAGTAATTTCATTTCTTGCATATCTGTGGCAGATCCTTAATTTGCTTTTTTCCCCAATTAATGTCATTGACAGAAAGGAAATAGAAGCATGATTAATTATTATATAGAAATAACAATACTTCACAAATGCAACAGCTATGACCTCATGCTGTACCCTGTGAAACACATCAACCATAAGTATGGAATCTACCTTGATCTCACAACTTGATAGGTAGTCATACTTCACACTATCGGGGTTACAGTTGCAAAGATTGAACCGCAAGATTCCAGTTTCTTCATGTAGCACCATGTTGAAAGTTGAATTCCATTTGGGACTTGAGCCTGGTCTTGCATTTGTCTTCCTTGTTAACTGACCAAGCTCGACTTCCACAAAAGTCTGCAAATCATTATCATCAACACCATCTTCTGAACTCTGTTGCTGCTTTCTTGTTGGACTTCCCTTGAAACTAGACTTAGAAAGTTTACTAGCTGAAACAACCGTCACATGTACAATCCCACCAACAACCTTCTTTCTCAAGTCTACAGCCGGTAAAGAGAAACACCGACGTCGAGGCTCAACCATTGTTTTATCTAAGGTGTCAGAGCAAAGTTTGACCTATTTCCAAAGACAAATAGAGACTTAGAGCACGAAGAATAAAGTTGAGGTTCTAGAGGATTATAGAGCAAACCATAATACCAAAACTTTCAGTTATTTGAGAGAGCGTAGATATTAGTATTGTGAGAGACATACCAACCAAGAAGAAACGCCAGGAAGCTCAGTGGCAGGTAGAGATTGGCTTCCACCACTTCCAAAGGCGACTCCTATTCTTACTTCAGGAGTCGACACAAAAGAGTAGAGAACTGCTCTCCCTTCCAAAATTGGCATCAAGAGAAGCTATATAATGAAAACCATAGGGCAAATGGCATAGGCCAAAGTCAATAAATAGAAAAGCACAGAACTGACCAATAAAAGCAAGAAACATACAAAGAGACAGTATTTCCAGCAGAACATAGTACACCCGCAACAAACCAAATATGCTAAAATTCACGTACATCACCCTTGATCTGCAGGCTGTTAATAACAATCCGAGCAGTTCCTAATGGCTTGGCCAACTTAGCCAATAGCATGATGCTCATGTCACAGGTGTCCCAATCAAAACTCATGTGCATCACTCGCTGTCAACATGTCAAAAAATGAAATCCTATCAAGTTATGAAAAACATGTATAATGCAAGCTTTAACAGAAATAGCAAGAGGGAGAAGAGTTTTGTTTAAGAGAGACCTGAAACTCATGCCGCTGGTAGGAATCTAAGCACATTTGTGCTGACTATTGGAAATGAGATATTTAGCTACCAAATTACTCTTTTCTGTTGTTAGAACCTAAAGAAGATAATGACAGGATAATTTACATTGTGCTCAAAAGCTGCTTATCCACAATCTAACATACATATAGCTAATTATCGACTGAAACAGCTAGACACCTTAAGCTAACATAAACAGAGAGGACAAGGAAAGAGAGAGATTCAAAGCCATACCTGGTCACCTGCAGTTGCCCAGCGACTCCCACTAAGGCCCAAGCTAGGTGGGGATGAGCCTAGAGAAAACTCCTGCAGTTCAACCCATTCCTGCATAACAAGAGTAGTGCTTCCTGGTAAGAGAATATTATAACAACAATTTCCATCATAATATTCATATAATTTAACTCTAGCAAATGAGAGATATTCATGTAACTTACTATGAGCTTGGGTTTCCGCTCCTTTAAGAGTCTCTGCTTACAAGAAAGGGTAAAAAAGAAACTACTTAGATTGATCTAATTATGATCATTAAGAGAAAAACACCAAATTCACCAACCACATCTGTTCCAAAATGTGACACTACTGATAAGCAGAAGGGTGCAGAGGAAGCTTAAGAAAACTATGAATAACAGCAACTACTTCATCAGTATACGTGAGCGTGACAAGGGGAAAAATCTAACCTCCACTATGTATGAGAACCTTGTAGAAAGCCGTGGGTTGAAATAATTCGCCCAAATTTCCAGCAACATCTTGTTCAGCCACTCACAGTGTTCTACAGCTGTTGTTGCCTGAATGGAAAATGACACAACATGAATCATTTACCGGCTTGACTACAAGTGAAAATCTCACCTGAAAATACTTTTAACTGGACGAAAGAGTGTGAGCAGAAGTACCGATGTGCTTAATATAACTCGTTTCCACTTTCTGTTCAGATCTTCCACAAGCATTCTTTTCTGATGACTCGAATACTGCAGTGCCAAGCAAAAAATTCTCATCCAACAAATACTCATAAAAAAAAATACTGCAGTGCGAAGCCATAGCAATGACATAAATTTCCTTTTGGAAAAATGAAACAAAAAAATGCCAGTTTGCCACTGATTCATTATAATGAGAACCCACAAATCATAACAAACAGAGCTGAAGCAAAGCTAGAGCATACAATGCTTCTTTCTAAAGCAGTTAATAAACTATGTACTAAAGCCAAAGTCAAGGACAAAAAAAAAACAGGACAATTGTACACAAGAAAAAAGCTTTAGCATAAAATTGATCCAAGTCCTTAAAAAAATCCCATTAGATTTGCCAAACTCCCCAATTTTTACCATGACCAATCCAATTATTAGTTCTGTTAGAAACGCGTGAAATAACAGCAATTAAGGAGTATACAATAAACATGTGATTCAAGCTATACGTAGTGAGATCAAGTTCAAAACTGAGGAACCAAATGCAGAGTTACAACAAGTGAAAAAGGGAAGGACTTTAACCTGAAGAAGAGCCCAAACAGCAACAGCAAGAGGAACCCAATTGGAAAGAGAGAAAACCCATCTCTCAACGCACCAAAGAAACAACAACAAGGGAATCAAAAATGGTAGGATGGGCTTCTTCTCTTCATAAAGAGCATTGAAGACCTCCACAACTTGGTCGATATTCATCCCTGCTACCCTGCGCATCATCCTCTTCGCCATTTTCGAGGGCCGAGATCAAATTCAGTTTACAAATCGCGGGAGAAGAAAAGTTGTCAGCTTTGGTCCGACATCATCAGACCAAGGAGACGGCCAAGTAACTGAAGCAACTTCACATGGTGAAATTTCCTCCTGGTTCGAGAAGAAGTTGAAAGTTGTGATCCTGGGAAGTTGAGAAGACTTTGTTCTAGGAAAGAGAGCACCAGCAGGCCACTTCTTCCTTCTTCTGCTATTAATTTTCCCTTTCCCCTTTTCTTCTTTTTTCTCCGTCCTGGCCGTTAATTAAAGAGAAATGGGAACGGTGAGATGGGAAAATTGAAGAGACTGGCTAGAGCTAAGCAGAGAGTTGCAGTTCACAACGGTTTTCTTACCTTGGCCCCATATCCATATTCCTTTTTGTTTACGGCTACGGGGATGACGAGAAGCGTTGGCCTCTCTTTTATGAAAAGTCCAAGTCAGCGAGGTGTCAATACCGAAGGCAGGGAATTTAATTTCCTTTTTGTTTCCAGTTTTATATGCTTCTACGGTTTGGATTTCCTTTTGCCATTTAATCCTTTCCTCTTTTCTTTATCTACGACTAGGGGTGGAAATCGGTACGGTATTGGTATCCCAATATTAAATACCGAAATCTTGAATACTGAATTATACCTTAAAATCAATTTCAATTCCTAAATAATTTCGGTATCCCAATCGGTATCTCGGTATCCCAATCAGTATTATCGAATACGTAATTAATTACCTTTACAATTAATAATTAAATATATAAATTAGATTTTATTGTTTAATTTAGGGCAAAGAGACTAATCAAATAGTCTTGAGTTGCCTAGAGCTAACATCTCAAGTTGTTGTAATTAGTAATTTTTAATTTGACGAATTTGAGGTTCAGAGATGTATAATACTAGTGTGAAATAGTGATGTAATTTGGGGTAAGTCGATCTGTTTTGGGATCTATTTATCCTTCTTTGATAGGTTTATTTTTTTCTTCAGTCAAATGATACATTTCTTGTGATACAAAAAAAAATTTGATCGAAAAAAAGGAAATATGAAAAAAAATCTATATGTGTAAGAAAAAAATGCATTTTCTAAAAATCGAACTAATAAAATAAAATCATATTATTTTATATATATTGATATTAGACAAAATAGTTCCATTTTCAATTTTATTAGTTGAATTAATATCTATTATATTATTATTAAGATCTATGTATAATTAAATGACACTTTTGGTGGTTGACGGTCGCGTAGTAGTGAATGAGTGAGTCTAGTTGAGAGGATAAAATACACACTAGCTTATATTTCGGTATTGATCGGTATTTCGGTATATACTAATCCTAATCCCGTAATCCCTAATACCGAATAAAAATTGAAATTCAATCCCAATCCCACAAAATATTACGTGTATTCGGTAATACCAAATATAGACAAATTCGATACAGTATTCGGTATATCTAAAATACTGGTAACAAACTTCCAACCCTAACTGCGACTATATGGTTATGAACTACAGATATTGCTTGTATCTCTTCCAGATTTATGCATAACTAATGCAGATTAATGTAAAAATTTTCATTTATATATTACTAATACTAAGCAAATTTTATACCTCCCCGTTTATATGAGTTCACTCATACTAAAAAAAGTGTGAAATCTTTATTCAAAAAAAAAAGTGTGAACTCCTATAAAAAAAAAAAAGTGTGAACTCGAATACTACATTTATACTAGTATTTAAAAAGGGAATGATTATTAATACTTAACTGTAGTTTAAAAGTATTAGTTTCTTACCTTGGCTATATAAAATGTCTTACCTACGAACTCGTTCATACTCCACATTGTTGTTCCTTGTCCACATTTGAATCATTGAACGCTCTTTTCTTGTCGTACTTTTGATCTTTTTATTTTCTTCTTGTTGGTAAGAGATACTGGAACCCAAGAACTCTTAGAGTAATATGAATAACAAGAGATATTGAAATATCAATTCAAGACTTGTATCTGTGATCAAGGAAGTCAAGAAAAAGTTAAGTGAGTTGAGGTTGTTTAGAGTAAATTATCAATCATCAAATTTAGTTTTATTGTTAATGTGTGTCAGAGTATTGAATTGATATTTAAATATCTATTGTTAATGAAATCTTAACAATAACATCAAGTATCAATTAAATACAGAGATTGCTCTTTGCCCAAAAGTTGTTGTTTTTAGGCTTGTTAAACGGTTATTCGGTGTAACCGTGATAAATGAACTGGTAACTAGGGATTACCAGTTACACTGATAGCTTATTACATAGTAAATGGATGGTTCTCATCAGCCATATTTAACTAATTAGTAACCGACGATTAAACAGTTAACCAACGGTTACCGACTAACTGATTGCGAACAACCTCAAAGTTATGACTGAAAATAATAGGCTTCAATGAGTCTCGGGCATAAGTACAAAATAACGGGATGTATGTTTGAAGGTTGTACAATCCTTTGTATCCTAGTTGTACTAGTGGCTTAAGTTCAAATGAGAATGATTATATGGAATGGCTCTAGAAGGAGCACATTAGAAATAAGGACTTGCTTATAGATAGTAGCTTGACAACAATGAGTTGAGTAGTTATTGTTGGTTCTCTTATTCTTCTATGTTTCTTTAATCAAATTTGATGGTATGATGGTATTTGTGTACTTGTGTTGATTGAGTTCATAATAGATTGATATCTATGTTAAATTATTTTTTATCCAATGACATAAACTTTATAAAAAAAACTCATACGTATGTAGAAAGAATATACAAAAATGCACATTGAATATAGGAGGAGCTCTTTGTTGGTTAGGTATCGATCGATTATTTTGGTCTAACCTTATCGAATCACTTGTTTAATGGATATTCGGTTAAATTATAAAATAACCGGTCACCACTATACGATTATGCTTAACCAACTAATATAAACGGTGTGATTAACGACAAACACAAATTGCTTAATGATTAAGGTTTATAACCTAACCGACTAACAATCCTACTTTTAAGTGTGTCACGATGTTTTGCTTAATTTAAGTATCCTAAACGAGACTTTTCAACACATCAATTGACCTATTAGCTCAACTGGTTAGAGCGTCGTGCTAATAATGCAAAGGTCATAGGTTTGAGACCTGTGTGAGCCTTTTTTTTTTGTTGTTAATTTTAGACTAAATACAATATATTAGTTAAAACTATTAAACAACGGGGAATTATAGCCACAACTATCGAAATACAAATTATTAGCCATTTCGTTAATAATCTTAACGAAAACATCGTAAATGCTGATTGGACAAATGATTTTTAATGATGTGACAATTTTTCCGTCAAATGATTTTTAGTTATGTGGCCGATGACATAGAAGTCTCCGTAAAAAATTTGATAACAGTATGAGGCTGTTAGCCATATCTTGACCACTTCTCACCCGAGGGTTGCCCCAGACTTTTTGTAAAGGGCCCCAGACCACAATAATAGTTATAGCTAATAATTTGTATTTCGATAGTTGTGGCTATAATTCTCCGTTGCTTAATAGTTCTGGCTAATATATTGTATATACCTTTAATTTTAGGGTTAATTCCACTAGAAAGTCCAAAGTATGCAAAAAGTATCATTTGTGTCCTAAACAATTCATTATGACAAATATGGCCCGAACTTTGAGTATTGTGTGACATTTGTGTCCCGACACTTTTGTTGATCGTTAGAAATAACGGTTGACCAGACGATGGTCAAGAAAATGTTGACTTTTGCTGACATGGCAAAAAATGTGACGGATGGCAGGTAATTAACACATCATATTATAGTTTCTTAATTCAAAATTACATTGATTTAAAAAAAAAATATAATTACGGGGAAAAACCAATTCCACGTGTCCGACTCGCCGCTCTACTCCGACTTCCACCCTACTCTGCTTCTTCCTCTCCTCCGACGGAAGCGTCCAAGCACACTGCCGGCGAGCCGCTTTGAAGCTTGAACGACACCATCACTCCTTCCTTTCTTCTCCTACGGCTGACACGAACATAGCAAGCTGAAGGGTTTTTGAGGATTTGGTGGTGGCGCCATCGATATGAGGAGGACATACTTGTTTCCCAAACCGCTCATATCTACACGACTCCACCCGATTCCAACTCCAATTCCCCCAATTCCAGTTTCCGCCATCACCAACTGAACAATTTAACCAAATCTCTTCCAACAATAGAGATTTTCCCTCCAACTTTTCTCGCTTAGAATCCATTGGGAACCCAATACTGAATTATTGGTGAATTGATGGCGGAGGTTGAGAACTCCTCTCAAATGATAGTTTTCAGCGAAGCAAACATCGCGTGCTCGTTCGGAATCTCCCCGGAATGCCAGGTCGGAACTGGAACCCGAAAATTGAAAAATCTCCAATCAAATCACTTCAATCTCTCTCGATGCGGACCACTTTTCTTCCCTGCGATTTCAGATCTGTTGAGGACAGCGTCGCAATATCTACCACCAACCCCAGCTGAAATCAAATCGACAGAATCATCCGATTGATGACAAAGAAGGAAGGTGGTGCGATCAATCAAAACAAAGAGGGAAAGTGAAAACGGCTATGTCAAACGACTAGTCTCAGAAGATGAATATATATATAGCATCTTGTTCCAGAAGAAAGGCAGACTTTTCTAGCAAAACATACTCATAGCTCGGGAAAGGAATTGGGTGAGTTGCAAGAGAGAAGTCAGCACAGAAGCAGGGTAGTCTTCTGGGAATTGATACAGGGTTGTATCAAGGGTTTCTATTGGTGAGGTAGCTGATAGAAAGAGTGACCAGTAACGGACGATTGGTTGCGGACTAATCGGACGGGAAAATACAATGTACTTCTGAAGAGCTTCAAGAACACATATATAGTGAATCATCAGAAATCGCAAGAGTGCGATTCTCTAATCGTGGATTAGTCGGTGTTGGGTTTGTTAATTACCTAACACCGGATACCACGTAAAAATTGGTGTTGTGTTCAGCATTCTGGTTTTTACCTTGTTATGTGTTCTTACCCAGCCTTACTCTGTTCTTGCTTCTGGTTTTAAAGTAAGCAGCAGGTGAAACTTCAATCCAATCCGAGGCAAAGGGAAGAAGCAGTGGTTGTGGGTAAAACAGTATGCATTAGGTAAGAGTTTTGGATCGATTGTGTGAAGCTTGTGGGCTGAACAAAAAGGAATAAACAGGCCGGTGAATAAGGTTAAGTTATTGGGCTTTGGGACCATTTCCATCAAGCCCGAACGTGTAGAGTCTCAAACACTAGTGTGAAGCAGAAACACTCTCCATCTCGATCAAACGCGGGTTCCGACCAAAAATCCCCTTTCAGTTCTTGAGGAAACATTGTTGAGGGTTCTTGCAAGTTCAATCGACATCTAAGAAATCAGGAGAGAAGACCGACTCG